GATGTCACGGCAATTCACTTTTATTATTTTTATATACGATATATAGAGAAAAATTGCACACTCCCGTGGCGCCGCCCTTGTGAAATTAAAAATATTTTTTTTACAGAACCCTTCCCATAGTGTTCTAATGAACTCACCAAAGTTTGATGGCGATCGGATGAAAGCTGTCAGGGGCGCCACCCCTGCGAATTTGATTTTTTTTCGCAGAAACCTCACAAGGAATATTTTCAACAACTTACCAAAGTTTCACGGCGATGTGATAAGAGGTGTGGTAATGCATAAAAGACACACAGACAGACAGACACACGCACTCACATACATTGCTTTATATATATATATATAGATAGATAATTTAAATAACTATAAAGAATAGCGTGGGTCTCTTCCTAAATATTAGTAAAGGTATCCAATAGATACTAACGTGACCCACGCTTTTCTTTATAGTTATTTAAATGGTAGTGTCTAATATTTAGGAAGAGACCCACGCTTTTCTTTATAGTTATTTAAATAGTAGTGTATAATTTATTTTCTACATTTTAGTGCAATATTACATAAAAGCTTGTTATTTAAACGTTTTTTATGATTTTTTTTCTTCATGTTTAGCAATGTAGAGGAAGGCGAATGATGTCGTAGGTAAGGTATATTTTGAAAAGTTGTAAAACTTTTATCAGTTAAATCATCAATTTAAAAAACTGAAAATTACAGATTACTTATTCGAGTATCTTGTCCTTTCTCCTCTATATTAGGAAATACGTTTATTTGTACTATTGATGTTTGGTTAAATGAACGCTATTTTAATTTATTCTTTAACCCAATTCGTTTGTTAAAACAAAAATTTCTTATTGAACGTTCGATTGTTTTCCAGTCGATATTTCTTGATAAAGACATAGGCAGTTACTGTTTTTTGGACATAGAAAATCGATATTACACTAAATTATATATAAAAAACTATCATATGAAATCAAATATGTGTATAGACATAGGTAATATGGAAATCGTATGCAATAAAACAATAGACCTATTATTGAATTTACAACCAATTTTTTTATGTTTTTTTTTTCGATTGTTTTTACGTCTAGAATCTGAATAGAGAAATAAAATTAGTTTGCAGTTGCTTACGACCTTCTTTTCTATGCACTATTGTTTTTAGCTCTCATTTTTATAAAAATTGAGCAGGTGTTCAGGTGCTATGATGTAACAATAGCCTAAGTTTCAAAATGACGACCTAGGTCTACATGCTTGTTAATTTTAGAAAGTTGTACAAATAAGGAAATGAGTTAACCAGGCAGTGTTAACAATGTTATAGAAAAAATAAATTAAACTTCAGAATGTAAGCTTTTAATATTTAATCAAAGTTTTAGAAAGTAAGCCTTTGTTTAAATATCGATAACCTATTTACTAAACAACCAAACTGAAATTTTTCAAATTGTAAATATTCAAAGTGCTGTTCGGTCTTTTTGCAAACATTTGATGAAGTGCGTATACATTCTTTTTTATTACTTCCAGAATAACGCTTGTTTTAAGTTCTAATGGATCAAGACAAAAGAAGATAGCTTAAACTATATTTAATTAACTTCTCTCCCTTTGTCAAACTGCTCGCTTTACTAGCCCGTCATGTGGTGTGTGTGTTACAATCTAAACAAAAACCGATAACGTTCACAGAAGTGTTGTAAGCATTTTCTCCTTATTGAATTTAACCGTAATTTTTAATACGATGCTAAAATTAATTTTTAAAGGTGTTTCCTTTGAACTATTTTATTTTACAATTAAAACAAATATAAAATATTATTTTTTAATGTTCTACACTTCAGTTTGTGATACATTTAAAAATAATATAATACCTTATTGTATTAATACTTTTTATTTATTGATTTCACTATTAATTATGCTTTTTAATCCTATCGATTTGTATAATACATTGTTCATGTCTTTAAAATTGTGTTTAAAATGTTTGCACTTCTTTTGAAGTAATTTATTAATAAAAATCATGTTGTTGCCTTTAAAAAAAAACTTAGTACAATTGATTTGAGACGAACGTACTTTTGTTAAGTTACCAAAAGATTTATAATAAATTGTTAAACAAGTGGACACATTACATATATAATGTGTTCATGTTAAATTTAATTAGGTGGAAACCATCTTTCAATTTATCATATGACCTATTATTTTTAAAGTTATCCCTTGGGGAAGGGTCTTTATACTTTGTATATTCTTTTTAACCAATGTCCGTGCCCCAAATGTTCAAGTGCACTCCCACACCCTAAAATATCTGTTGCGTGTCTGAAAGAAACACTGCAAATGAGTAACCTAGCAGTAAATATGGCAACCTTGTGCCCAGTGATCAATGTAAAATGTAACATTGGAATTGCAGACCCTTTTCATTGTAACTAAAATATAACTAACTAGAACTAATTAAGGAACGTAAATAAATCAATCAACATTCTAATTTTTTTTAAAATGTACCCTTATTTTTTGTATTTGGAAATCTCTAGTAATATGTAATGTAAATGTTTAATACTTTGATTCTACCTAACTAAACAATAGAGCCTGGGTTCCAACAAGAGGCGTTGCGAGGGGGGGGGGTGGACGTCACCGGGTGACACCCGACCTAGCGACGCCCATGTCTCCAACAAGTCTCACGCTTTCAGCCTAATAAAAAAAAATACATTATTTTTATTAATTTTGAAATGATAACCATTCTTTAGTTACGTGCCTTAGAATTGCACCGAAAGGACAATTCTTTAAAGAAATATCGAGATGTATTGTAAGTGTAATACTGGTGTACACATCTGAATTATCATGAGTGTTTCACATCGATTTGTTAATGTGTGTGAAAATATTTAATGGCTTGACATATTTTAGCAGAATTGTTATGGATGAAAGCTCTGCCTGGTAATCGAATACGTATTCTGCGTCAACTAAGTAGTGAGTGCATAATTGAAAACAAACAGAAACACTTAAACGAATTACAGTGTAAGACGACTTCGTTTGATAAAGCTCATTCAGAACTTTGCACCTGGCAACTGCAGTTGATTTAACCCACCTGCATTAAATCTTTAGATTTGTGTGTGTGTATGTGTGCTCTAATAGCATTTTTAAAAGCTGGTTACAAAGACCTATAGTCCTACTATTCAAACTTCTGCAATATGAAATTCTAAATAATGCCATATACATATCCAACATACATTCTACATGATTTATATATATGTATATATATATATATATATATATATATATATATATATATATATATATATATATATATATATATATATATATTTACATATATACATATATATATATACATACACACATGCTTATATATGAGTCCACCCCAGTGTTTCTTCCAGACTTTTATCGAGGGGGTCCTCGAAATTTTCTGGGGGCGGACTAAAATTTCCGAAGGGGGGGGGGGGGAGGGAGGGAGGGCGGACCCTGGTTAAAAAAAGATAATTTCTATATAAATTCTATTTCATTCGGGTGGGGAGGGGGCGTTAGATGTTCTTCGTGGAGTCTCTGCTCCCCCCCCCCCACCATGAACAAAGCCGGTCCGCCGTTCTCTTGAAATGTACAAGTGCCTCCTTGAAGAAAAACGTCTAAAAAAATAAACACTTGTTAATTTTAGTATACTGTGTTGTCCATGACCTATATGTATAGTTAGACGTCAGTAGTAACATTTTAACAAGTACATTGATTTAGTAATAAGTCAAGGCCAAATTCTGTAATACAATTACCAAATTTTGTTTTAAGAAAAAAATTAAGTGATGCATTTTTAAATTTAGAACTAATCACCAACACGCTTAAAAGAAATGCACGCGTGTGCAATAAATATAATCTAAAATAATTTCAACACGTGCAAATAAACAATATAAATTACGAGCCGACCCGCGGTGTATCATACGCCGCTTTTTAGTTGTTGTTTTTTCTACTTTTCAGTAATTCATAATTTGCGAATTCGACAGTACCAATGCTGCCACTGAAAATATTTGCTTTTAAACACTAACACCCCCCCCCCCGTGAAAACAGCCTCCTCTTAGTTACCTCCTCTAAGTTTAAAATCGTTTCAAACTAAATTATCTGCCCCTAATAGCCGTCACCAAACCCGGCTCTACGATTGTAAAATGTAAACATTTAACGTGAACCACAGCTCACCAGACCATGTGAGGAAGAGAGGGGATTGCAAGGCGCGTTTGCAGCTTGTTTTCTAACGGCTCCCAGAAGAGAATTATATATATATAGATAGATTGTTATCATGTAAGAAATAGAAGTAGGATGATAGCACGTACCAATTCACAACATTACTTACCATCATACTACGATCACTCATATTCCTTGTATTCTACTATGACCTACTGTAGCTGTCTACTACCATTACTTATCCTCAATGTATGCTACAATCACTTACGATCAAAGTATGCTACAATTAATTACACTACCTCCTTATTACTATTACTTACACTAAATACCTGCACCATCACCTACACCGCCTACCTTCTACCATCACGTACACTACGTACTTGCTACCATCATCTACACTCTCAGTACTGTTCCATAACATACACATACCTAATGCTACATATACTCAATTTCTGGTAACGTTACATATTTTCCCAGTTTACTGTATAACTTAACACGTTGTATCCTACTATTACCAACACACCCTATTAGCGAGTGCTACCTAGAGTCCCTGCATGTTTATTATCACAAATACTATACGCCTACGTATAGTACATATACGGCCTGTATCACCTTTACCTACAACACCTGTAGTCTAATATGACATAAGCTACTACCTGTAAGTAAATTGGATCTAAACTACACGTTAGTCATTATCACCGGTTATACCTTATTTCAACTAACAAGTCCCACGTCTAATGACAAATACAATTTTTGCATTATCTTGAGCTTGATTTTTAACAGAGGATTTGTCAGTACGTGTTAGAATCAACCAATAGAAATCAACCTAGTGTTGTTTATTTTTATCTGTCTACATTATAATAATTAAGTCGAGTCCAACAACGATTGTTTTTTTGTACATTGCAAAAAATCCAATGCTATTGACCTTTTTCCTGTATGTTAAACAAACATCAACATTTGATTATGAAATGTTTATGTATGTTTTTACAAACTACAGAAATGAATTCATTATTTGTTTTTAAATTCTCAACAGCGGACGAAAATGAAACAAATAGTTTTTCTTCTTCTGATGTGTCTTGCAAATCTTATCGTATTATCAGACAGGTAGGATAAATTATTTACAAGATGTGTTCTACATGAAATCTCAAAAAGACGTAAACATTTTTTCAAACCATCAGTTTTATTTAAAACATATTAAGTTTTTTTTAAATGAAATTTAGGTTTTATGTATGCGAAATTGTAAATCGAAAAATTTTTTAAAAATGTTATCGTATATATATAGTAACAATGGTCTAATTATAGTTGTATTTTAAACACGAAAATGATAATTTGTACTTAAATGATGATTTAAGGTTTTTGGTTTTTTTTCTAGCGTTGTGGGTTGAGGGGTTTTGGGATAATAAGTAGAGATGAAAATAAATGTAGGATTACGAAAATTAATATAAATATTATAAGCAGTCGAAATGATATGTCGAGTACAATGAGACACATCACATCAAATATTCCTCCCTTTCCATCATCTAAATCAATAACAGCACGGGTTTGTATTAACATTCTTTAAATAGATTTATTTACAAATTTTAAACATGAATAATAATTGACCACTTGGGATGTGCGTACGGTGGCTTTGATCTATCTGTCAGACATGTGTGGTTGGGGGAAAAAGGGGGGGGGTGGTTTTGGGGTGGGAGTGGTATGTACTTCTTTCTATCTTTCGGATTGTGGGGACTGTTTTAACGTTAATTTACTCCAAGGCTTATCAAGTGATGCATGGTTAGAGACTGTTTTAATCAATATAAATACTGTTTTTCCTCTCTCTTGTTTAGGTTAGGTGAGAGTTTCCAGTCTATGTCGTAGCTTTTCTTGAAATATTTCTTTTAACTCCATGTCAGAGTATTTTTAAAATAAAATCTGATTTAATTCCTATGTTCCCATAAATTCGATCTATAAATAGCCGTTGCCTCAAGTCTATTTTCGTCTTCTATTCTGTAACTAGTCGTGTTAATTAAATTATGTGTGATTGCTTTATTTGCTGTGGCTGTTTGATTGGTAGCTTTTATTATTTGTGCAAGTTTTTGCTTTGCTTTCTGTACTAATGTATAATCTAAATAAATGTGTTTCTCAGTTTCTTGTATATTTTGTTAAAGTGTTTAACATTTTATTTTAACATTTTCATTTGACTTTGTATTTCGCGAAACTTGTCTTGTGTTAAAGATCAGTCTTTATACTTCATGCGTATGTAGCAAGCCGGTCAAAACTATTTAAACACGAAGTGTTATGGTTACCTATGCTTGTTTTATTTTTATGTTTATTTGCATGTATAATTTTGAATACTTTTATTTTTATAGCTGTGTCATTACTTAGTAAGCCTTATTTTAATAATAATTAAGTGAAGAAATAGATTGTAATCTGCTTAGTACAAAATAAATTAAATGTGCTTTTTGGACAACCCTATTAAATTATTTAAATAGGAACGATAAGTTACGAAAGATGTTTGAAGTTTTGTCTATCTTTCATACTACAGTACAGCTCGTGTAGTGTTTTTTTGTCCATGAAACAGTGAGTTAGTTACTGTAGTTGGCTGTAGTTGATTTAAAAATGTTTTTTTACGAATACCCTAGTCTATTATTGTGCAAAAAATGTATTTGATAGTTTTAACATATACGAACCTTAGAAAAACGAAAAACTTTAAAACATTTTCTCACATAAAATTTATGTTACCTAACCTTAATTAGGTCAATCGATTTGGGAAAGTATGATTTCATTAAACAATTATTTTTTGCAACGTTTTGAACGTAAATTACAACAAAGAGGGTTTCTATACAAGCAATAAAATTCGTCTTACTAAAGAAAAAACAATTTAGGCTTGATTAAAATAACTAAAAATGAATCCATAAATGCAAAAAAGGAAACAATATGTTCTTTTGCAGCTTTGATAACATTTATTCATAAAATTAAATTTCCAAAATTGTTTTAGGATGAAGTTAATTTTTTTTTACAAAATTAAATTGACATAAACAAAATATTCTACCATTTTATTCTTTAAACAAAAGTTAAAGAGAAAGCACTTTTTTGGGACCAAACTGGATAATATTGCGGCCTTTTGGTTTTCTTATATTGCATATGTATACATATTAAGTACTTGCATTTGAGACTTTTTCTTCGACATGTTCGTTTTGATAAGTACTATAAAAAAGCATATTTATACATAAAATGAGACGTATATAATAGACGATCTCATCTTACAACTCAAATTTCTACTGCAAAACGTTTGCTTTTTTGTTTCAAACAGTTGCTGCAGCAAGATCGGTAGTTGTGACTCTAAAACTGGTTACGATTGTTGTGATGACTATATATGTGTGCCACTGAGAGGGTAAAAACAAATTATTTTTCTGTTTATTACAATCAGTTTCCATTCCATTCTGAACGTTAAACACAACCTTTAATACCTTACGGTCGATGGGGCAGGTGAAGAAGAGTTCACATGTTTCAGGTGATATCGGCATATGAATGGACAGTGTGGTCAGCACTATGCCAGGCTGACTTTATTTTCCCTTACGTGAATAAGTTACTCATTAAAGCTTGAAATAACACACAGATGACGTACAGATACGAACTTGATATATTTAAATTCGAGATCTTGGGGTTAGCATTCGAAAGTTCTTTTCTTATGCCATAGGGGTCGTCCATAAATGACGTCACACTCGTAGGGGGGAGGGGGGTCCGTAATTTTGTGACGGTGTGTGATGAGGGGGAGGGGTTTAGATGGTGTGACGTCACGTTTTTGCATTATAAAAAAAGCAATGTTAAAAAACGAGTTTTAGCCGTTATTTCGCGTTTATATAGCGTTTTTAATAATTGTAAATGGAATCGATCAAAATATCGATGTTTTAAGCAAAATTCAACAGCAATTTTGAGGGAGGGGAGGGGGGGGGGGGAATTGTAGGCTGAAGTGAGACGTCATTTTAGGGGGGGGTCTGGCTTTTTGTGACGACGTGTGACGGAGGGGAAGGGGGGGAGGTAAAAATAGTAAAAAAAAGCGTGACGTCATTTATGGATGACCCCATACTGTGCCATATAATTTAGATTGAACTATATAATTACACGAGGGATGAAGTTTGGAACTTTTATAACATGCCAAATAAAACGCTACTTTTAGAAGTAATTTTATTTAGAATAAAAAAAACAAAACATTAAAATTATATAATATCAACGCTCCTGTGAGTTACAGGGATTTACGAATTATTCTCGCATATATCGTGCTTGTGATGATCATATTTATAAAGTACAAAATAAAACGCTCATTTTAGAAATATTTAGAATAAAACCAAAACATTAAAATATGTAATGAACGCCGGGTCTTGTAATCGTGCAAAGAAAACAAACTGAGATTTTTGCAAATCTCGACCTTTTACACCTTACTGATACGGAAAAACATAGTTTTGCAATCTTATCCGTATGTCTGTGTGTATGTGTGTTTGTCTGTGTGTGTGTCTGTAAGCACGATAACTTGAGTACCGTTATAGCTAGGTTGATGAAATTTCATATATAAGTATTTTATCAAAATCGTAGATCCGTATTAACTTTTGAGCGATTTCCGATAACCGGAAATGGTACTTTTTGTACTTTGAATTTTTCAAAAGCCTATAACTTGAGTACTATTTCATATAGATAAATGAAAATTTCACATGTAAGTAAAAGATCTAATTCTCTACCTTCTGTCAAATTTTGAGTAATTTACGCTATTTCCGATTTCTCAACAAAAAAAACAATGTAAATTTATAAAGTACTAATAATATCTCGCACTATTATGCACATTTTATTTGGCCTTCACTGGTGCGCAATTCTTTAATCTGCGAGATTTTATTCTATTTTTAAAAGTTTAAGTATTTAAAATGAAATAAAATTCATGTCTATATCCCGAGTTCCCATCCCCTGTTTTTTATATAAGAATATTCGAGAAAGTTTAGGGGAGATAGCTCCCGGTTTATATATATACGGCAAAAAGTAATTCATGCTGAAGTGAGAATTGAAGCGGGGTATGAGCATATAGACGTTTTCGAAATTGTAATAAAGATACAGAGACAAACTCTTACATAGCGATTGGCTATCTGTAAGAAAACGACTAAACAGTGAAGATAAAGACATCTGTATTTTTCATTACATTTATAGCAATTATAGTTTCATTTCTTCCTTATTTAGCTTTCCAGGGGAAGGACAGTGTCACTATAAGTATGGTATGTTATAGAGAGCTTTAGTATTTGTACCTGTTAAATCGTGACGTTTTCATTGTTAAAATTATAATTTATTTCTTTGCTCGACAAAGTATTCCGGGTTTATTACTTAAGTAACTAGTAAATTATCATGTATATTTGTCAAAACGTTTATTTTGTATCATTGATTTTTTGGAACATGAACATATTTTGATTTATTTTTTCTCCCAAATCTTACTTGATGCAAAAATAATTATTCCTTTTTATTATTGGATTGTATTTAAGTTTATAGTTTATATTTATTTTCTAGAAAAGAAAATATATATCAAACTAAATTTAAAAAAAAACAACAACTTAAGAAAGCAAATATATGTATATACACGTTCTTGTGAGCACACTGATACGCCGTTACGGTAATCAAGTGAGTCACACAACATATAAGACAAACAAACACTATCTATACAAACACAGGCAATTCTAAATACTAACACAAACTATTACACAAAACTAAGACACAGTGGCTATAGATTATAGAACTACAGTACTAACCTACACTAACCTTGTAGAAGTAACGTACTGAGACAAGCGATTCACGTGTACCAACAACGTACATACACATACACAAACGGGTACAAACCTAAATATGATTAAGTGAGTGGTACAACTCACCGCACAAGGATTGAACAGGGACTAACGGGGCAGGGTACAAAGTACAAACAACATTCACCCCCATTCATCCCCCTTCACATGTTCACTACATAGGTAAATAGCTATAGATAAAAATGTACTTTAAATCAAATGTAATTCTTATAAAATAAAAATAATGAGATAGCTAATGGCTTGTTTTAACGTTAATTTAAATTATTTTTTTGCAGGTTAAAGCTGAACAAAGAAATAAAATTGGTTTGCAATAGAATATGGTTTTCTTTTCTGAGTTCTATTATTTTTTAAGTCTGATTTTCTTTAGTTCCGTAGTTCACAATATTGAGAGCCAAGTTCACAAGTAGGCACACGTTTTAGAAATAGGACCAAGGTTCAAACGACTTATGTGTTAACAATTGCTGTGGAAATAAGGAAACCATGCCTTTGAGCTATTTAAATAAAACAAAACTAAGCATCGGTTATTTAAACATTTAAAATTGCATCAAAGTTCAAGGAAGTAAAACTTTATTTCACAATTAAATACTTTTATATGGAATATTAAAACTTTGATTTTTCTTATTGTTAATATTCAAAAGTGCTGTTCAATGTATTTTACAAGCCGTGTACAAGCTACAGGTAAAAACAAAACCACTACTTAACATGTTTCGGTATGTTTAATAAATGCATTTTTGAATCTAATATATAAAGTTCAATTATGTAGGCCTATGTTTGTATGTCGTGGATTACAAAGGAATATAAAAAAAAAGGATAATTCCATGGATTGAAGTGTTAGATTTTTAAAATACTCAAGGTCTTAATTTTTGAGTTAAAAAATTAATATTGAAAGTTTTTTAAAACAATTTTCATTTTGCATACTTAAAATAATAATTTTCGATATGAACAATACATAAAATTTAAAAAAATGTATCAACGTTTATAACATTTCTAATTGTGTCTGAAAAGTTTTTGCATTCAGTCCTTTAGCACTCATTACATCCCTCGATTAGAAAAACACAGTTTTTCCCTTTAAAAAAAACATCGGGGAGAGAAGAATTTACTTTTTATTACTTTGTTTTGGTGTTGGGAAAAAAATAATTACATAATTAGCGGGGATTGATTAAGTGCAATGTTGTTGGTATTTTTAATACTGCCTTTTATTTATTCCATACACTAAACGTACTGTTTTCTTCTTATTAGTTCTAATCAAAGACAGGGGAAGTAACAAAAGACACCTTTATTCGGGAACGGGAATTCCCGCAGGTTATTATTTGTGTCTTTTTTTGCGCATTCGTTTTGTCTGTCCTTTTTTAAGCACGAAGGGGAATTCATTTTTGTGGGTCGCACCAAAAAGCTCTTTTATAGACACCTGCATCAAACTACAAGAAGTTATACCATTTGATATAATACTAGCCGTCCCGGATTGTGTTGTGTTGTGTTGTGTTGTGTTGTGTTAGTGTTGTGTTGTGTTTGTGTTGTGTTTGTGTTGTGTTTGTGTTGTGTTTGTGTTGTGTTGTGTTGTGTTGTGTTTGTGTTGTGTTGTGTTGTGTTATGTTATGTTTGTGTTGTGTTGTGTTTGGGTTTGAGTTTGGATTCGGTTTGTTTTCGTTTGCTTTTTCGTTTGTTTTTTCTTTGTGTTATTATTGGTTTTTGTGGATGTGGTTGGGTTTGTTGTTAGGTTTTTGTTTTTGTTTTCGGTTGTGTTTGTATTTGTAATTGTAATTGTGTTTGCGTTATGTTTGCGTTTTTTTTTTTTTTTTGTTGATTGTAGTTAGGATGGGCAATGCCGGGTATATGATGAGGCCAGAGCAGGGCCTGACCGGGACAGCTAGTAGTGTATAAACTATAGACAAAACTAGTTAAACTTCACAACTAGTAGCTGTGGCTGCTATGGAAATCACAAAAAGGTGTGACAATGTACACTTTTTTGAACCTCCAGAACTTTGCCTCCACAAAAGATACATAAAACCTAATTATACATTTTTATATTTTATTTTAGTTAAGCATTACTACGTTTTTTTATTTATCCACATTTTTACGTAACACAATGTGCAAAAGAAAGGGAGTGGTGCTACATTAACATTAATATGTCCAAAAGTATTGCAAAAACCTGAGTGTAGTATTGAAGATGGTATAATGCTTAAAGGATTTGGAAAGTTACAGTCTTAAATGACAAATCGTTCAAAAAAACTTAATTATTTAAATTTTGAATTTTGCGTAAACTTACAAAGATGAGAAAACGTGAAAAGACGTCTGTTTCTGTATTGAAGAGCTGTTTGACTTAATATTTAAAAGTGTTCCTATGACAATTACAGTTACGTTTCTTAACTAAATTTTAAATATTAACCGAAATGCTGTATAAATTAACAAATTAAAGAGAATTTGCAAGTAAAGTAAATTAACGAAGACAGGCGATATTTTTATTTAGGTAGCAACAAATATGGCTACCTAGCCCACGAGCTTAAGGTGTAATACAGGACTAATCAACATGCAGGTTCAGGTGTAATGAATGAGTCACCACGCAGGTTCAGGTGTAATGTAGAACATTTTCAACACGCAGGTTCAGGTGTAATGTAGAACATTTTCAACACGCAGGTTCAGGTCTAGTGAAGGAGTCAGTACGCAAGTTCAGGTGTAATGTAGAACATTTTCAACACTTAGGTTCAGGTGTAATGTAGAACATTTTCAACACGCAGGTTCAGGTGTAATGTAGAACTAGTTAACACGCAGGTTCAGGTGTAATGAAGGAGTCAATACGCATGTGCAGGTGTAATGTAGAACATTTTCAACACGTAGGTTCAGGTGTAATGTAGAACATTTTCAACACGCAAGTTCAGGTGTAATGTAGAACTAGTTAACACGCAGGTTCAGGTGTAATAAATTAGTCAATACGCAGGTTCAGGTGTAATGTAGAACTAGTTAACACGCAAGTTCAGGTGTAATAAATGAGTTAATACGCAGGTTCGGGTGTTATGTAGAACTAGTTAACAGGCAGGTTCAGGTGTAATGAAGGAGTCAATACCCAGGTTCGGATGTTATGTAGAACTAGTTAACACGCAGGTTTAGGTGTAATGAAGGAGTCAATACCCAGATTCGGGTGTTATGCTAAACTATTAACATTAGCTCACAATTTTAAAAGTGTTTCTCTCTGGCACCTCTCAACGACGTACTAAAATGGACACGTTTAAAACATGGTCTAGCATTAAATAAAAACATTGACGTCGGCCATTGTCTTCTTCTTCGTTCTAAATTATTAGTGTTGAAGGGGATCGAGATTTATCTGCCAGTGGGTTTGAACACAATTAAGCGTTACGTGTCAATTGGTTATGCGCCATTGAGGCATTGACTCCGATTTCAGCCTGCTTTTCTTTTTGGATTTGCTTCCATAGCCTTTGTCCAACCAAGAACAAACTACAAGGCAGCAGTTGTTTAATTTTGGAGTTGTCTCTCCTAGAAGAGTGGCTGTCCCCAGCTAACGAGCCTCATCTGCCCGAGGGTTCGAACTCGAGACTTTTCGAAAAACGTGGGTACGTTCACCATCAAATTTCCCGACCCATCTGCCCGACCCACGTTTTTTGTCAGTCATCACAAGAACATGCACAGCTCGAGGAAGCATAAAAGAAAATTTTATTTTCTACTTTTTAGTCCACAAGAAAAACGTGGTTTTTTAAAGTTTTTTTTAAGTATTTTATTTTCTCCTTTTTAGTCCGTTGCTACACATGAAAAACGTGGTTTTTAAAAAGTTTTTTTATATAGTTTATTTTCTACTTTATCTAATGACTTGATTAAGTATGACTTGACTAAGTGTTTATAAATACACGGACTAAAAATCTTGAGCGACCGATACGCTTTAAACAGAGAAAGGGCGTAATTTAATTAAGCCTACATGCCGTGACAAGGATTCGAACCTGGGTTGTTGCGGCCACAACGCGAAGTTCTAACCACTATACGATCACGGCCAGCGCGCTCACATCGATTGGGGCCGAAGTAACTGTGTCAATAGGCCTCCAGTCTTGTCGGTATGTTTAGAAATCATGTCCTCGATTTTATGGTCCTTGGGGCGTAATTTAATTCAGCTAATTTAGGTCTCTAATTGCTAGTTTTTATGATTGCATCTGAAATTGTCAGGCGAAAATAGCCTGCATTCCAAATTTCAGATATCTAGAGCAATCAGAAGTGGGATAATTTTCTATGTCAATTTTAACAACAAACATCCAAACAAACAAACAAATAAACGCGAAGCTGAGTTAAGAAAAACGTGTTAATAAAAATACATGACGAGTCGCTCAGACAGTCCTTCCGCTAGCCAGGTACTCTACATTCATGCAACTTCATGTAAAACACAATATAATACACATGCCTAATAATACAGTCTGTGACAGAAATCAATATGTATTTCTTTTTTTACACTAGGCCACCTGTTCAAAATACGTGTATAATATACTAGACGCTTTTAAAAATGCATGCGGATGAGCTAAATGATTTTCTAAAATAGTTTTATCACGTGCAGGTTAATGTGTTTTGTAAAAAACATGTTCCATCAATCTAAAAAAACAATACTCACAGTACAAAAATGTATGTTATCACAATAGATGAAGAATGATGGTGAGTTTCATGACATTATTTACCATCATGCTACCATCATCTAAACTCACGTAATCTACCATCATCTACATCCATGTAAGCTATCATCTAAACTCCTGTATGGTACTATAGTACTATGGTACTATCACTATATACTACTAATGCCTACACTCAATGTATGCTACCGTCACCTAAAATTAATATACACTAAAACCACCTACACCAAATGTATGCTACCGTTAACAACAGTCCTATCATGCTACCATACCTACCAGCTAACTTAGTCTACACTATCGGTACGCTTTTAAAACATACACCTCCCAAATGCTACCTCCACCACTTATCTGTTACCATCACATAATTTTTATAATCTATACTATTTTCTAGACTTCCTTTACATTACCATTACTCTTTTTTTTTTAAATTTCATATTGAGTCCCCGTATAGTATTTTTACATATATAGCAAACTTACGTCTAGTACCTTTATCACTTGTAAGTAAGCATCACCTGCAATAACTCTAGTCAAATATCGAATAGGTATAAGTAAAGATAATCCAAACTACCGGTAATTCATTATCACTTGTGACAGCTTGCTTCAACTAACATCTCTAACATATTTACACAAACACCATTTTCTCATTATCAGATTAATTTACAACAGAGGATTTAACAGTACGTATTCTATTTACAAACAAAACCAACCACACCAACCAATGTGGGTTATTTATAACTGTCTGTCTAGATCCGGGGTCTCCAAACTTTTCAGACCGAGGGCCGCATTAACTATCAAATTTTAGTTCGTGGGCCAGTTTCTTCCAGACACGTCTTTGATTTTTCAGCGCAAAGTTCCTCAGCCATCACCAACAAACAATTTTTCCTTGGACAAAAAGATCTCCGCGGGCCGGATGAGAGGACTTCGCGGGCCGCATCCGGCCCGCGGGCCGTAGTTTGGAGACCCCTGGTCTAGAGTATAATAAGTGATGGTAGATCCAGCCGTACTTTTTATTTCACATTGCAAGTAATCTACTTTATATAGACCTCTTTTCTATACGTAAAGTAAACATCATAATTTAATTATGAATTATTCTATTTATATTTTTACAAGCTACATGAATTCTTTATTTGTTTTAACTTGTCTACAGCTGATGAAAATGAAGATAGCAGTTTTTCTTCTCTTGATTTGCTTTGCAAATCTCGTTGTCTTATCAGACAGGTAGGAGATATGTTTATTACATGAAACTTCACAAAGAAGTAAACACGTTTTCAAACTAGCAGTGTAAATAACATACGTAATCCTTAAATCTATTTTAGCTTTTATATTTGTTAAATTGATAAAGAAAAGGTTTGCTGTTAAATAATAACTTTTCTGATATAATAAAGAAATTTTATGCGAAGATGTTCTATCATATCATACAGTTGCGCAAGTTTTGAACATAATTGTAAGCAACTTGGTGAACCGTGTTTAATCTCACGGGTAGAAAATGAGTGCTGTCATGAATTCTTTTGTGATTCGAAAGGTGTGGCTCAGGCTATAAGGTAACTAAAATATAATAATATGCTACAAATTATCACTATTACAAACATTATGTGTTTAATAAAACCAAATGAGTGGCCATAAGTGCTGCTTAGTGAGCCGGGTATTAATTTTAAGATCTACAACAATCTTGTTGTTCCAGTCTATTTGTTTTTCAATTTTCTTACAATCTATTATATTACTAAAACTCAAGTTTGTTTACATGTTTGAATATTTAGTTTTTTTGTTTGTCTGATCGATTATTGTAAATATTTCTACTCATTATGGAGAGCTGTAAAATAGTATGTAGGTAGAGAATAATTTTTTAATGCAGACAGACTGTTAATCACACATTTATTTAAAGACGTTATTTAATTTATTGATTTATTCATAGGTAGATTAACCACTATTTTTTTAAAAGATTAGAAAAACAACTAGACTCGACGGAACCGTGACGTCACAGTTTTTTGTTTACTTTATTAGTACAGTAAAATGGCGGCGCTATCGAAGAAGATTGTGTTCCCATTCAAAAGTTTAACGCGTTCTAAATCTAATTTTCTGTCGGCCATAACTTTAACGATACGTCCGTTTGCTGTATGTATTACGTTCCAACGCTTAAAATCAATTTTCAACTGTCTTTTTCATTTAGTTTTACGATAAATTTCACTAGATCTACAGATCAGCTGTCGAAGGAAGAACATGTTATGAAATCTAGATCTAGCTCTAGGGCACTAGACTTTACGTAAATTCTAGATCTAGACTTAATGCAAATTCTACATCTAGAATCTATTTCAGGCCTTATTTTATATAAATCTTTGTTTAGCTTTCATCTATATACTACTAAAAGTCAAGTTTGTTTACATGTTTGAATATTTATTTGTTTGCCTGATCGAAAATTGTGATATGTTCGACTCTATCTGGAAAGCTGTAAAATGGTATGCAGGTAGAGAATAATTTTTTAATGCAGACAGACTGTTGATCACAAATTTATTTAAAGACGTTAATTAATTTATTGATTTATTCCTACGCAGAATAACCCATTTTTTTTTTAAATGTTAAAACCTTGACTAAACTTTGTGGGAATAGTGACGTCACAGGTTTTTGTTTACTCTTTAGTACAATAAAATGGCGGCGTCTATTGAAGAAAATTGTGTTCCCATTCAAAAGTTTAACGCGTTCTAAATCTAATTTTCTGTCGGTCATAACTTTAACAATACGTCCGTTTGCTGTATTTATTACGTTCCAACACTTATATCAATTTTCAACTGTCTTTTTCATTTAGTTTTACGATAAATTTCTCTAGATCTAAAGATCAGCTATCGAAGGAAATTTATGAATCTAGCCTAGATCTAGATCTAGCCTAGATGTAGGTCACTAGATTCAATGTAAATTCTACATCTAGAATCTATTTCAGGCCTTAATTATTTTATATAAATCTTTGTTTGGCTTATTTAAGATAAAATTTAATTTGAAAGTTAGTACTACTAGACTTATTTTTAGATCTAGATCTAGAATCTATACGCGTAAATCAAGTTGCATAAGGAGACACATAGTATAGTATAAAAATTCACTTGTGACGTCACGAGTAAATAGCTAAAATGGTAGCGTAGTCAGCTCTCATGCAGGAGGCACGGGTTCTAGACCAATATGTCAATGAAATATTTTTTTTTCAATTTTTTTTTTTAGATGTGAATGATAACGTTGCCTATCTGAACTTGGCAAGATACAGGGCAGGTGAAGTAGAGTTCATCTGTTTCTTTGTCCTAAGCATATGAAAGGATAGTGTGGTCAGATACATGCTCGGCTGGAATTGTTTTTTAAACGATAAAAACATGTTGTCTGAGACTTGGCAGGACACTGGGCAGGTGAAGTAGAGTTGAGTAGGTCACCTGTGACGTCAGTTTATGAAGGGATAGTCCGAAATCGGTGTTTTCGGTGTTTTTAAAAGATAAAAAACATATATTTGAATGTGGGGTCTGTTTTTTGTGACGATAATTGACACTGCAGTAGCGTACCGAGGAGGGGGGGGGGGGACGGTAGGGGAGGGGAGGCGGGGGGTGGGGAGGGGAGGGGAGGCGGGGGGTGGGGGGGGGAAGGGGAGGCGGGGGTGGGGAGGGGGAAGGGGGGGCATATGTTGGGGCGCCAAAATGGTTTGGAAAAATAAATTGATAGGTTGAGGGGGGTTCAAATCGAAAGTTTGAGTGGGGGGGGGGGGGTGCACATCAAGAGTTTGAGGGGGAGGGGTTCAAATCGAAAACTTTGTCCCCGGGCGCCGGGAAGGGTCGCTATGCCTCTGAGTGACAGACGTGATGTTTTTTGATGGATGACCCCCGAAAGCCACAGTTATCCAACGGATGACGGGTATTCTAGTGACCATCTAATTTGAGAATACATCGGATTTATCTATCTAGAGCTAGATATAATAGGATTACTCGCTTTATTGGAGGCGTGGTCGGTTGCTAACAACAATAACGTCCCGACCGGACGCATGACTTCCGACTATTTTTAGGCTGTGTTTACCACGAGCAAAAGGGCGGGTTTTCACGTTATATAAACAAGCTAAGCGAGTCGTAGATAATTTTAAACCTTCATTATTTAATATAAATCTTTGTTTGGCTAATTTAAGATAAAATTTAATTTGAAAGTTACAATTACTAGACTTAGATCTAGATCTATGCGCGTAAATCAAGTTGCATAAGGAGACTTAAAGTATTAAAGTATAGTATAAAAATTCATCTGTGACGTCACGAGTAAATAGCTAAATTGTTAGTGTAATCGGCTTTCATGCGGGTGGCACAGGTTATAGACCAATACGTCAATGATAATTTTTTTTTTCAATTTTTATTTTATTTTTTAGATGTGAATGATAAAGTTACCTATCTGAACTTGGCGGGATACATGGCAGGTGAAGTAGAGTTCATCTGTTTCTTTGTCCTAAGCATATGAAGGGATAGTGTGGTCAGCGGCATGCTCGGCTGGAATCGTTTTTGAACCGATAAAAACATGTTGTCTGAGACTTGGCGGGACACTGGGCAGGTGAAGTAGAGTTGAGTAGGTCTCATGTGACGTCAGTATATAAAGGGATAGTCCGAAATCGGTAATTTTAAAAGATAAAAAACTTATTTTTGAATGTGGGGTCTGTTTTTATGTGACGATAAGTGACACTGCAGTAGCGTAGCGAGGGGGGCGGGGGAGGGGGGACATATGTCCCCGGGCGCCGACTTTAGGGGGCGCCAAAATGGGTTGGAAAAATAAATTTAAAGGTTGAGGGGGGTGCAAATCGAAAGTTTGAGGGGGGTGCCCATCAAAAGTTTGGGGGGGGGGAAGGAGGATTGCAAATCGACATCTTGAGGGGGGTTGCACATCAAGTTTGAGGGGGGGGGGGGTGGAAATCGAAATCTTGCGGGGGGGGGGGGGTTCAAATCGAAAAGTTTGTCCCCGGGCGCCGGGAAGGGTCGCTACGCCTCTGAGTGACGGACGTGATGTTTTTTGATGGATGACCCCCGAAACCTACAGTTATCCAACGGATGACGGGCAGTCTAGTAAATGTTAAATGTATTGGTACTTTATCATAACATTTGTGAAAATTTGAAAAAAAATTATATTAGAGTGTTTTCTGTTACAAAAACTATTCAGATGACTCTAATATAGTTAGTAAAAGAAAGATCAATGATTATAGGAATAATATATATGACAGTATTTATAATCTTAAGGACGCAGTTGCTATAGCAAGAATCCCTGATGCATGCAAACATTTTCCCTGAAGTACCCTAATTTAGATACACACGCATAAATAAAAGGGCTTATTAATTGAGAATTTTATTTTCAGAACTTGCCCCTTAAAATCAGAGAAATACATTTTATGTGATAAGGGTAACCATTAATCGATAGTACATCTCCAAATTACCACATTGTGTCGCTGCTAATATTATTTACTTAATTAACATGGGTACCATGCCGTCCGACACAGCAATGAAAGGGGAGAGGGCAGAAGGTTTAGGGGCCCGAAATCCTACTTAAAATACTAAATTTATTTTTAATAAATAATGTTGTCATTCACCGTAATAGTGATTTTGTCAAAACGGTCAGGTTTAATGTAACAAAGATTGTTCTACCGTAACTAACACATACTGTTGCACAGAAACATATTTTTAAAATCTACGTGAGCTGCAGCGTGAAAGATAGGCAAGTGTTCACACTACTTGCATAATTTATTGCCTTTATTTAAATAGTCTAAAAAGGGTGCCCTAAAATAGCTTTTCTACTAAGTAATAAAAAAAGCTATCGCTTCTCTTAATTATTACTTTTTAAAAATTTCTAAGGCTTATTTTAACTATAAAAAGAAATGTATTGCCATTACCGAGTTTTACATTTTCACAATTTTCTGCAAACATGAAATGCGGTACAATCATTTTTAAAATACGATTATTTCAGGCCCAAAAATATTTTGAAAATATTTTTGTCCGCATGGTTTATTGTTCCAGAATGGATATATTTTGCAAATTAATTAAATTATTAGATTATTAAATTAGGAAATATAGTTATAAATATTTTAGTTAAGCAGGCAACTATAACACCGGGATGTCTTTTTTTTCTAGCTCCGAAACTTTTTTTAAGATATGATTTTAAAATGACTTGAGTTTGATTTTCTTGTTTTATTTTATTTTAGTTTATATTTTAAAACCGGAAAATGTAGAACACGCTAGGTGAGTAGCCCTAATTTTACATGTATAAGTTATAATCCGGATATATACAGTGAGGTATCGAACATACCAATCGGCTACGACAATATAATAAGAGTTTAATATATTTGAATAATATAACTTTCAAAAATCCCGCATTTTTCAACATATCAGTCTTCAAATTTACATACCATCGCCCTATAGAAACTACTTGTTATTTAATTGTTGAGTGAAGTCTTCCTGAGACTAATTGATCACTAATGTAATATTTGCATCAAACTTTTGTATAACACAACATCAGTCTCCTTCTACTACTTATGCATTGACGTCCCGAATTCATAGATAATAACAAAAAAAAAGAGCTATCTAGTTAGCTTGTAGTAGGATAACATTCCATAACATAAGGATTTATAAAATTACAGTTTTATGTTAACAATAGATTGGAATTATAACACATACATTAAAGTTAGGCTTGAAACCACTTTTATTTTCAGATTCAGTACTATGAATAATTCTTCAGGAAATGAATTTTAACAAACGCACACATATATACATAAACGTATGTACACAAACATATATATATATATATATATATATATATATATATATATATATATATATATATATATATATATATATGTTTGTGTGTGTGTGTGTGTATATAATAATGTTCAAATGGATTCTGCGACTAAGTATGTGGCAGAAAGCTGACGGACACGTGGAACACATGCATGTAGTAAAAAGCTCCACTTTATTGCCAGTGTAATATTTATAAAGTGTATACTTTTAAAAATAATAACGAAATAAATTATTTAAAAAAATCTATATTGTTAAATTGTACATTAATTTTTTTTTTTCAACAGATCATTTTGATTGACATAACCTGAAAAGAACACAATTAAAATAAATGTACTACCCTTCAAAAGATTCCATTATTATGTAAAAAAATGTATATGCATTACATTTTTTTGTTTCTGTTTCTGTTTTTGTTGTGGTTAGTTGTGGTTTAGGTTAAGTTTACAGTTAGAGTTAGGTTTTAAATTAGTCGTCCATATGTGCATAATAACATTTAATTGAAAAAGTAATATATTTCCTTAACCAGGACAATTCTTGGTATATGTTGCTTAATAAACACACAAGTCACGGTTCTTTACAGATAGGTTTTTCATATAGGCCGGTACAGAGCCTGGCCAGGACGGCTAGTTTGATATATATATATATATATATATATATATATATATATATATATATATATATATATATATATATATATATATATATATATATATATATATATGTGTGTGTGTGATTCTGTATATAAATGTGTGTTTCTGTTTTATATTATATATACATATACATATATATATATATATATATATATATATATATATATATATATATATATATATATATATATATAATATATATATATATATATATATATATATATATATATAAATATATATATATATATATATATATATATATATATATATATATATATATATATAATTCTCTACCTTGGATCATGCGGGCCACCACCAAAACTACGTACGCGTTTTGAGACGCCCCCTCCCCAGCAGTGGTTCACGCAGAATGTCTACAATCGTTTCGAATTCGTGACAACTATTAGGGGCAGACAATTTACTTTTCAAACGATTGGAAACTAAGGGGATTTAACAAATTCTGCTTAATCTTTTTATTGTCGTCTGTAAACTGTCTTCAAGGGGGGAGGAGGTTGGAGGGAGGGTCAGATAATATTGCGCTGTATGCTACGCCGCGGGTCGGCTCGTTGGTTATAAAGTGCTTCAGCAATGCTTCGTAACCAGGCAAACAGACAGTTTTGTATCTACCCACAGTGCGTGACACAATCTGGACGTGAAGACTATTTAAAGTGTTGAACTCAGATTTAGAATTATATGCGGGATACGACATCTATAGTTCTGCTAACCCTGAAAAGTGATGTAGATAGTGAAATCCATTTTGATCGATAACATTGATTAGAATTTGATTCTACATAATATTGATTGGATTTATGACATTTTTGTTATTTTTTTGTATTTATGATTGTGTTTGTAGTCTTAGTTCTAAAAATGTTCGCGGATTACTTCCAAACTAAAATGTGCCTTATTTTGATCTTGACTGTAGCTAGGTGCATTGTTCTAGCGGGCTATTAAGACGTAATAATCGTTCAAATTTAGCCGCTGTCTGTGTGATAGTATGAATATTTTGTGGGGAATGACAAGTTTCACATCGCATTACTAAGGGTAATCGCTGGCTTAAGAAGTCCGAAACGTTTGGAATAAAAAGCGAAAAGGTGGTGCTACCACATTAAGGAATAAAATATTTCTAATGATAAAGTGATTTTAATCGAATATGGATATCTTTTATCCTGATTTTGAGCCTGGTACCGAAAATGAAATAAGGTTTCTTTATCTTCATCTTAAGGGGTCCGTAATTTTGTGACGGTGTGTGATGAGGGGGAGGGGGGGGGGGTCAGATGGTGCTACGTCACACTTTTGCATTATAAAAAGTAATGTTAGAAAACGAATTCTAGACGTTATTTCACGTTTTAGAAAACTGTTTTAATAAACTGTAATAGGAATTGATTAAAATACTCTATTTTGAGTTCAAACAAGATTTTGGAAAAATGTCGATGTTTTAAAAAAAGTTCAACTGCAATTTTGAGGGGGGTTGTATGCTGAGGTGTAACGTCATTTTAAGGGAAGGGGGGTCTGGCTTTTTGTGACGATGTGTGACGGAGGGGCGAGGTAAAAATCTTCGAAAAAAGCGTGACGTCATTTATGGATGACCCCAAGTGTAAATGTACTGTAGACGAGTTGTAGGAGTAGGAATACATGTAGATTAATTATCTTATATATATCTTTGTTTGGCTATTGAATTGGCTAATTTGAGATATAATTTAATTTAAAATATTAAACCTATTCGCGTAACTTAAGTTTCTTACGCTAGCTTTACGTCACTAAATAGGCATCTAAATCGGATGTGCCCAGCTTGCTAAGATGATAGTTTAATAAGTTACCATGCGGGTGGTTCGAGACAATGTTATTTTTTTTTTTCTAAAATTTTAATGCACAGTGGGAAATTAAACCACACGCGTTTGGTTCTAATGTATTATTATTAGTTTGACGTTAGTTTTTATAGTTTATTCATTTATTAATCCAATGAGGTTTGAGCTCAGAAAATATTGCAGAAAGAAATCGGTGTTTTTAAAAGACTAAAGTATGCAAGCGGAGGTGTGACATCTGTTTAGATGTGAATGATAAAGTTCCCTGACGTGTCTTGACGGGACACTGGGCAGGTGAAGTAGAGGTTACCTCTCTGTGACCTCAACATATGAAGGGATTGTGTTGTTAGACCCAAGCTCAGCCGAAATCTGTATTTTTTAAAAGACAAAAACATGCCTTCTTTTTAAATGCGGGGTCTTGCTTTTTTTGAAGATGTGTGAGAGTGGGAAGGGAAGGGGAAAGAAAAATCGTCAAACAAACGTGTCGTCATTTATGGATGTTCCCCGAAACACACGGTTATTCAAGAATAACGGGTAGTCTAGTTCTATTTAAAAATTGTAATACTTCAGAAATTTAGGGGAGATCATTCCAGCTTTAATTTGTTCTTTGCTTTTGTTATCATTTCTAAATGTGTCTTGCAAAATCTTAACTTGAGGCAACACAAATCTTTTTAGCTTGAATGTCCATTGTTTTAGTCCCTAAAACATTAAAAATAAGTGTCTGATAAAATTACGATGATACTATCGTGGCTGTTGATGCAATACCTCCTGTCTGCTTCGGGAGCTGATACATTTTACAACGTAGCTCTTTATAAGCCAGCTTTTCAGTCAACGCTGTACAAAGATTGGACTTCGGATAAAGGAAATGACGGTGGCACGAGAGTCGCAGAGAAAGGTGGACAATGTGTACAGACCTGGCCATTTAACAACAGTTGGTGGATGGTGGACCTGCTAGACAGTTACGTCATTAAGTCCGTTGTTCTAGACAACAGGTGGGTTCACACTATGTTTTATGACTTTATGAAACTGTAGTTATAACGTAAAAGTACATTATTGAAATGTGGAACATGCATGGAGACGACAATATGCCAAAATCAAACGACTAGGTTGAAGGCTGGCACAGAAGTTTCCAGTCGAATATGGGATGTTGCCACCCAAATATTTTAAACTTCGTTGACCTTATTAAAAGGGACAATCGCTCCAAGATATTTATTGTACCCAGATAAATTCAGAACAATGTTTACAAAAACACTTTTTTTTAAAGCAGCGCTGAAAGTTCAACAACTTTTAAAAGTTTTAATGCTAGCAAACTCTATACTAAAAGATGGGCATACACATTAACACATGTGTCGTATACAGTCCGATGTGAAGTCTGATGAACGCATTCAAGCCCATCACAGCATGCCGTAACAAGATTATAAACTGGCCGTTGGTTGAATGGCAAGAAGTGGACGAGGGGGATAAAGGGGATGGACTTAGTACATTCTTCAAACTGATAGACATGTGTATGACGCATGTTTCAGCTTAGTATAAAGCGTACGAAACAGTGTTTAATAGTGTTCCAGTGACAATCAACAGTACATTTCTTGGGAAAGTTTCAATTAATTATCTTAATGATGTAAAACTTTAAAACAACAAATAGAAGAGTATTCGCAAATAATGTAAACAAACGACGACAGGAGATTGTTTTGTTTATCTAAAAACAAGATGGCTGCTTAGCACACGTGGTTAGTTGCAACCAATCATCGATTATTTTGATTTACTGTACTATTTTATGACTGGTCAAACGTATCAATGAATTTCTTCCCATTCATTATATTTACGCGCATGCCGTTGTATGTCAGCGTAGTAGTGTGAAAATGTGATGGGGGGGGGGGGGGGGGGTACCATGTTTCACATCCCAATAAACGGATTAACGTTGGCTGTAGAGGTTGGAAACGTTCAGGCTAGATAGCTAAATGGTGTTACTATTAGAATTAGTGTTAAACCCATACAAGTAGAAATAATTTTGAACTGTCGAAACGTGTGATGTCTGGCCTTAAGTTAATTCAATAAAGAAATAATTGTCTTCTTTACTAGAAACGATTATCTGGGGGCATCCACGAGGCTACGTAATTTCAAGATTGATGTGTTTAATGATGATCCCAGACTGGTGTCCACATTTCCTACAGTTTCTGGAGACATTTGCTACAACCAGACAGAACCTGCAACGAATGGCACCTTCACGTGGAACTGTAGAAGACCTCTCATTGGTCGTTACGTTAGAATAATCATGTGAGTTTTTAAAGGTTTAGTGAAAATGCTGCTGACGTACAGTGGCGTCGCTAGGTCGAGAGGGTCAACCGGTTCGGCACCTCAAGGTGTACCCCCCTTTTTTTCTCTGTAAATTTCGCAGTTGGTGTCCCCCGCTGTAAAAGCTTTAAAGTGTTCATATTTAATATTAATGACGTTATCTATACACTGTTGTTAATACTGCTGGGTGTTGCATTGATTTCTTTATAGTTTGCATGTTTAGAACATGGTTTCCAACCCCCCCCCCCCCCCCCACATCGACACTGTGTATTTAAAAATTTTTCAAACTCTAATTAACCGTTCATTGAACTGGCAAAAAACATATTTATTCTATATATATATTGCCTTTTTTGTGTCTTGGTATAACCCCCCCTCCCCCAAATGGTATCAACCTGTGCGGTCCGCAGCCCACGTCCCCGCCTCACGACGCTTCTGCTAACGTATACTAATTTAAAGACTTAAATTAATTAAAGTGTTTTATGAGTAAAATGAACGATTACATACGTCATATTAATATTGTTATAAATTTTGCATTGCAACATAATTAATAAGTATTATTTGTTTTGTTTTTTAAATATCAGGCTACCTGCAGAAATTCTCAATTTTTGTGAGCTGCAAGTGATGTCCCCTTTACCAACAGAAACAAGTGAATTTAAAGTTTATAAAAAACAGATGCTGAACACGACGGCAATGTCTAAAGTCGCAGTGTCAAGGTCTGTGATGTGTGTTTCCGAATGTCTAAAGAAACGTTACACAAACGGATGTACGGCTTTCAACTGGTTCCCTTCTACACGTCTCTGTCAAATGTTCAATATTGATACAAGAGTTGTAAATGTTGTGGCAAAACTTACTACAGCACAGAATGTCAATTTCTATGTAGTTAAATATTAGAGAAGCATGCTCCAATATGTAAATGTTATTTTTATATATACATTCGCAGAAAGATTGTTTACATATTATAAAAATCATAACGCAACCCTTATTTGTATATATATATCTGAGTGGGGTAGGGTAAGGATCACATCACACACCTAAGGACAATACCACCCACCAGACCACTGAACAATAACACGATAACCTACAACATACACCCCATTTTAAAAGACAAATTCCACTACACACATTCATTAAATAAAAAAAAAACAGAACACATTCCTCAATCCATAATAAAAAGCCGTATTATCTAATACATACACTCTATTTCCACTACGCACGCTCCAAAACGCACATACGTCAAGTAACACAAGCCTTAGACCAAATGCCACATCATAACACCCTACTCTCAAAACAGCAACCACACACTACGCTTAAAAACACTTTGAACCATATCCCAAAAATCACAGCCATTTCTTTTTTCTTATTTTCCAACTTTTCATTCAGGAATAAATTGTTGTATTTTATTATATTAAGAAGATTTTGTGTAACACTGTTCTATTGTGTTACATTTTTTTGCTTTGCATTTTGTTGAGCTATGATACGATTTACATTGTTGCATTTGAATTGTGGTTGTTGTAATTAATTTATACCAAAGTATGTTGAATCCTAATTTCCGTTGTTACATTTGCTTTACTGTTTTTAGCAATGTTTTAAGTTATGTATCTTTACATAAGGTGTTGCGTCCATTGTTGTGTTTGATTATGTTTTAGTTGTGCAGTGTTTTAGTTTTTATTAGATAGTGCCTATTTAATATTGCGTCGCGCTGTGTACTATTTCTTATTCATATTTTTAAGTTTTATATTTGTTACATTGTGTTTTCAGCAATGTTCAATATAATTTTCTAAAATGTCGCTGTTTCGTAAGTTATTTTTACATATCGTGCTAACTGATACTTCGATATCTTTTACTGTTCAAATTGTTATATAAACATACTTTGTTGATGTTTAATTATACAGAGCACTTTTATTTGTATATTTAATTAATAATTTCATAAACGTGTGCCGTTTTTACGCTAGAAAATTTATTCTCATATATTCCGTCTCCTGTCAAGAAATTTCAATTACAAGGAATAAATTTGGACGATTTATCTTCGGTAACTTCAACATCTTTCATTTTGACTAAAGAAAAGTTGAGTTCAAATATAATTGCTTCAACACTGATAAAAATTAATGACACGCTCTCTTTCAAATGTGGACTTTCTTGACTGTTTCTCACCTGATTCTATCCTATCCTCGCACAGACATGAATTTTTTAAAGTAAATCTAATGTTATGTCAGAATGATTTTACTATACAAGTAGCAATGTAATTTACATGGAAATTTAAAAAAAAAGTAAAACCTCCAGCGAAGGTCTTTAGGATATGCATGGCTATGTCGATATTTGTTATAGAAAATTGCGAAATAAAGGTCAATGTGAACCAGATCGAAGTGGTTATGACACGTCTCATCTTTTCACTTTACACTATTTATTCTCGGCTCATTTTCCACAACATGCTCCACAACCATTTCATAGGATGCCCTTTCGTGTGAAATAGCCACGTGATGTAGGACTGTGAAATACATCTTGATATTTATTACCACTTGATACTTCATTGTGAGATTTCATAAACACTATTTTAAAACATGTATCAACATACAAATAGAAACGAAACCCAGTGTTCTGTCATAGAGGTACGAAGTGTTTATTTAATATTCTTTTAGAGTGCATTCTTTACTTCATTACTGTATCAGTTTAATTATTCATCTTTGTATAATCTGGGGAGGTATCTGTGGGAAAAAAATCAAATTAGCTGTGGTGGTGTCCCGGCAGGGCGCGATTTGATTCTTCTGTATATTCGGTATAAAAATAAAAGTCTATTGCGGTTTGACACTGTTCAACCGATCGCTATGATACTTTGGGCAGTTGATTAGAACACTCAAGGAAATGTTTCTACACTGGTAAGTTTACATCACCTGAATTAGCTCTAGTCCAATACTAAACATATATAAGTTAATATAATCTAAACTACCGGCAAGTCATTATCACTTGTGATATCTTGCTGCAACTAACATCTCAAACATTAATCAGAACAATTCAATTTTCTGATTATCCTGAGCTTAATTTACGACCGAGGATTTGACTGTACGTATTAAAATCAAACAAATAAAAACCAACCACAACAACAACCAGCAATACATCTTGTTGCACCTTGCAAGCAATCTTATATAGACCTCTTTTCTATACGGCAAGTAAACATTATATTTTGACTATAAATAATTTTATTTATATTTTTACAAGCTGCATAATCTTTATTTGTTTTAACTTGTCTACAGCTGATGAAAATGAAGATAGCAGTTTTTCTTCTTTTGATTTGCCTTGCAAATCTCGTTATCTTATCAGACAGGTAAGAGATATGTGTTCTACATGAAAGTTCGCAAAGAAGTAAACACGTTTTCAAACTAGCAGTGTAATTAAAATACGTATTTCATAAATGTAGCTGTAATATTTCTAAAATTATAAATAGAAAATTATTTTGGTTTTGTAAATAAGAATATATTCGAATAATCTATCAAATGTTTTAAATAGTATGTGCATTTTACTGAATAATAAAATATAAAAATCTTTACTGGGAGGTTCTTTTATCGGACTTTGGGTGTATTTGAAAGTTAGAAAACCTTAGAAAAAAAAACCCGATAAACACGATCCAAGTGGGAAAGTACAAACTATTTTCATGTGAAACTGATCTCTCTAAAATTAGTTATTCATGAAAGATCATTTCTCGATTTCTTAACTAAACAGTAAGTTTCTCTCTCTCTCTCTAAATATATCTATCTTTCTAAGACCATCTTTATATGAAGTTGTATTACTAATACAACGTACAAGAGCTTTCAAATTCGTGTTTATTATTAAGTTATGTTTTCAAATAATTTAATAAATATTTCAATGAGCATTTATTTTAAATAAAAGTCTAATTTTGTATTCTCTAAGTTGTTTGTGTTTTTGAACCTTAAATTTATGTTTCCACATCATACCCTTTGATTTTATTTAGTAAATGGCTGGATAAATGTTGTTATCCATTCATCATTACATCGGAAGTTAATTAACATAACGTTTTTAACCTATCAGGTCATTACTCTTTTTATTGCATTTATAATCATCCTAGGTGGATTATATAATATACGATCTTACCTTGTAACTGATGTAATTATACAAAGCCTTTGCTTTTCCTTGAAACAGTTGTTGTAAAAAAAGTGGTTACTGTGATGTTGATGATGATTGCTGTGAGGACTACTACTGTTTGTGTAAGCGTAGGTAACAGCAATTAATTTCAATTCTTGAAACGGAATCAATAATTTTCCCATTAAAAAATAGCCTACCCTTTTATATATTACGGTCCATAGCTTAGCTGTAGTAGAGTTCACATGATTCGGGTTCACATTGGTATATGAAAGTATAGTTTGGTCAGCACTATGCAAAGCCGTCGTAATTTTCCTTAACCTGGTTCATGTACCTATAAGAAGTATATTGCCTAAAAGATATTCTACGGACTTTATGAAGGTATCCGGATTCGGACTTTGGGGTTAGAAGTCGCAGCCCTATATAGTTAAGATGTAACTTAATTTAATAATTACACGAGAGATGAAATTGGAAACTATTTATAAAGTGCCAAAAAATCTCATTTTAAAAGACATTTTTTTTAGAATAATTAAACAAAACAATATTATTGACTTTCTTTTGTGCGCTATTTTATAACTGGTTAATTATAACAACTTTGGTAAAAAAAACTTATGTGTGTAAATATAATAGTTATTTATATTTAGCCTAATTTTTTCTTCAACTTTCCCTTGTCTGAGTGTATTTGCCCCCTTAAGATATAAAACATGAGCACATAGAACGATTCATATTAGTAACTAAGGTACTGTAACAAACGATTCTATAACCAATGGGTGACCAAAACATAAAACAACGCGACAGTCTCGATTAAGACATTGGTGTTTTTTCATTAAATTGTTATCTAATATGGTTTTATTTGGTTTTTTCCTTGTTTAGCAATATACATGAATTGGTTTGCCGAAAAGAGTAAGTTTAAACAGTTTCAATATTTGTACTAATTAAATCACGAATTGCACAATCTTAAAGCAATTATTGGTTACGATTTCTTATTTCGCTCGACAAAGTATGCTTTATTTTTTTCAAGTATCTGGTCTATTATCTTCTCTATTTAGAAACACGTTTATTTTGTATGATTGAATATTGTTTACATGTACGCAATTTTGAGTTATTTTCTCTTAAAACATATTTGATGCTAAAATATTTATTTCTTTTTTTTAAATTTGACTGTCTTTCAGTTAATATTTTATTTTTACATTGACATAGGCAGATAAAGTTTTTTCATAGAAAAAACATCAAACTAAATTTAAAAAAAAAACAACAGAAGAAATCAAATGTTTGTAATTACACGTTAGAAGCTAAAGATTTTATTTAAAATTAGATGGTTTACATATGAAATTTATAAAAAAATAGACCAATAAAAGACCAATAAAAGATTCTTAATCTAATGATATGTTCTAAATGTTTTTAAATCTTGTTTTACAGATAGAAGCTGAAAACAGAAATAAAATTGGTGTGCAAATGGAATACGATTTTCTTTTCTTTGCTAATATGTTGCAAAGGTAACATGCGCGCACAGTGTGTGGTGTGATATGATTTAACATTTCCGCACAAGTTGTGTAGCTAAGTGCACAAGTTGTTCCGAGTTTCTAGAAATAGGACCTAGGTTCAGACGACTTTTGTTTAACAATAATTGTACAAATAAGAAAATGATCAAAGCAGCCAGTTAATTAAAAACAAATGAAACTAAACATCTATAATGTAAGCATTTAAAATGTCATCAAAGTTCAAGGAAGTAAGCCTTTATTTCCCAATTAAATACTTTTATATTAAAAACATCACTCTATGGTGGTTTCATATTGTAAATATTTAAAGTGCTGTTCAATCTATTTTCCAAAATTTGACAAAGCGCAAATTAAATTTTCCTTTTTCACTTTCGTGATAAGATGTGTTTCTTGTCCCTAATTGCTCAAAACAAAAGACGGCCACTTAAGATATTTTATATTCATTAGTTCCTCTTTGTTGGACTGACTCGTCTCACTAGCCAAACAAAAGACTGCCACTTAGTGAGACTCGTCTCACTAGCCAAACAAAAGACTGCCACTTAGTGAGACTCGTCTCACTTGCCAAACAAAAGACTGCCACTTAGTGAGACTCGTCTCACTAGCCAAACAAAAGACTGCCACTTAGTGAGACTTGTCTCACTAGCCAAACAAAAGACTGCCACTTAGTGAGACTCGTCTCGCTAGCCAAACAAAAGACTGCCACTTAGTGAGACTCGTCTCGCTAGCCTGTCATGTGATGGAGCCTGCATCTTTAAGCCAAAACCATTACTGTTGTAAACAGTATTAAAAACCTTGCCATCTACCTAATCGCAGAGGCGTAGCGATGGGGGGGGGGGGGGAGGGGCAGGGGGAGATATGTCCCCGGGCGCCGATCTTAGGGGGCGCCAAAGTTGGTTGTAAAAACAAATTAAAATGTCATTTTAGCTACGATTTTGCATTATAAATAGTTTGAGAGGGGGGTGGTGCAAATCGAAAGTTTATTGGGGGGGGGGGGTGCAAATCAAAAGTTTGAGCGGGGGTGTGCAAATTAAAAATGTGCTACCGAAAGGGGCGCCAAATTGATAGTTTGTCCCCGGGCGCTGGGAAGGGTCGCTACGCCTCTACCTAATCGTTGTAATGCTTTTATGAATAAAGAGATATTATATGTGTTAACTTATACTAGACAACCTGGGTATCCATTGAACAACGATGTGATAACTAATACTATACTATATTTTTTAAAGTGTCCTTTAACCTGCTAAAGCACTGGGCAACACCAGTCTAAGTTTTACCGTATCCACTACCCGTCTCACATATCCCAACAACATACTGCTAAACCCACCCTTTTCTAAATCTCCTTTAAATGTCATGTAAAATGTATTTCCCCTTAAAAGTGACTCAACCATCAAACAAGTTGAATTAATGCAGGACGAATGTAAAGTAAAAGTAAAGTTCCCTTTAGAAACCTGACGGTCTACGGGGCAAGTGAAGTAGAGTTCACTTGTTGCAGGAATGTACACAAAGACAATATCTGCTGCCCGATCTGGCAGAAAATTGATTTTGAAAAAAAATTAAGAGATTTATTGTATTTTGGAAATTCCGCTGTAGACATGTTAAACCATCGAGCGAATGTTTCCAATCGATTATTTAATGGGTTTCAATGGTTCTCGTAGTAGTGTTTACTGAGTGCTGAGTGCATCTAAAATTGGATGGATACGCTAAAACAAAAGACAGTGTTGGACCCATGTGGTATATGTAACAAATTGTGTACTCTGCAGCTGGAGATTGCTGACTATTTTTTAATCTTCAAGTAACACGTTAAACGCAAATTTACTTTAACATGACCAAATCTACTATCCCACTATATGGTCATTAATGTCTCCAGTGATGCTTAGTAACCAGACAGACAGCAACAGCCAGAGGCGTAGCGATGGGGGGGGGGGGGACATATGTCCCCGGGCGTCGACGGTAGGCGGCGCCAAAATGGGTTGGAAAATGTAATCGAAAGTTTGAGGGCGGGGGGTGCAAACAGAAAGTTTGAAAAGGGGGGGGGGGTGCAAATTAAAAGTTTGAGGGTGGTGCAAATCGAAAGTTTAATTGGGGGCGAGGGGTGCAAATCAGAAGATTGAAGTGGGGGGGGGGGGGGGTGCAAATCGAAAGTTTGTTCCCGGGTGTCGGGAAGGGTCGCTACGCCTCTGACAACAGCAAAGAGAATCGCGTATGTCTTTCACCCCTGTTACCAGCAAAAAAGCGCGTGTCACCCGGAAGAGTTTCGATTCTACCCACAGTGTGTGACACCACTTGGACGTGAAGGGGCAGTTCGTTTAGAAGACGGTATAAAGTGTTGAGCCCAGATTTACAATTGTTGTGTGGATATGGCATTTATCGTTCTGCTACCTCTGGATGGAAAATATTTAGTTACATCTACGATATGGACTCAATAGTTCTTCTATATCTGAATAGTTTGTATGAATTCACATGTTAAAATCCATTTTCGACCGATAACATTGAAGAAAATTCGATTCTACAGTACATAAAATACTGTTGGATTTTTTTCTTTCAGTGGATATATGTTTGAATTGCATTTATAATTCTTCTTAATCTGAATAGATACTATTTATGTACAACTTGGATACGACATCTATAGTTCTGCTAATCCTGAATAGATAATATTAATTTACATGTTAAAATCCATTTTCGACTGATAAATGAGTAAAATATGATTCTACAGTATACAAAATATTATAGGATATCTTAATTCAGTGGAGAAAAGTTTGTATTTATTTGTGTTTGTGTTTGCAGTCTGTTCTAAAAATTTTCGTGGACTACGTTCAAACTAGAATCTTCCTTATATGGACCTTGACTGTTGCTAATATAGACAGTTCTATCTAATGCTGAGAACTACTTATCGATTTTCCAAGGTATCAGCACATTGAAAAAAAATAAAATGGGAGACAAAGTCTTACAAAAAATTGTGATGCTAATGATATTCTACTGTCATACAACTTTAGAAGATGATCCATTATACAACGTTGCTCTATACAAGCCAGCATTCCAATCGTCAGTGTATAACAACTGGGGTGCAAATAACGGAAACGATAACAGAAAAAGTGGATGGGCGAATGATGGCCAGTGTATGCATACCAAGAACGAAAGCAACAGTTGGTGGATGGTGGACCTAATGGACACCTACGTCATCAGCTCAATTTTTTTTATTAACAGGTGGGTTAAATTTTTACTATATGACTTCGAATCTCCAAACTCTCATAATAAAACATCATTACATCCATTCTATCATCATAGGCATGCATGCTTGATTTTAATACACATTTAAATATACTTTCTTATAGATACGAAGTATAGAGAAAGTCTTGTAATCGTGCAAAAAAAAATCGAGAAAAACATAGTTTTGCAATCTTATTTGTATATCTGTGTGAGTGTGTGTGTTTGTGTGTGTGTGTAAACACGATAACTTGAGTATCGTTACAGCTAGTTTGCTGAAATATAAATGTATTATATCAAAATCGTAGATCCGTATCAATTTGTGAGCGATTTCCGTTTACCGCAAGTGGAACTTTTTCTACTTTCAATTCTTCAAAAACCTATAACTTGAGTACTATTAAAGATAGATAAGTGAAATTTCACATGTAACTAACAGATCTTATTCTCTTCTCTGCCTTCAGTCAAATTTAGAGTAATTTTCGCTATTTCCGTTTTCTCAAAAATAAACGCATGCAAATTTATAAGGTACTTATAATATTCCGCACTATTATACACATTTTGTTTTGCGCTCACTTGGTGTGCACTTTTTTTTATATACGAGATTCTATATTATTTTTAAAAGTTTAAGTAATTAAAAATATTGTCTATATCCCGAGCTGCCATCTCCCGTAGTATTATATAAAAATATTCGAGAATGTTTAGGGGAGATCACTCCCGGTTATTTTTCCTGAAATCGATTTTTGTAACACAGGTCTACAAGACGGCTACTATTCCGTGAACAAACAGAGGTGGGAGATGTTATATATATATATATATATATATATATATATATATATATATATATATATATGTATACATATATATATATATATATATATATATATATTTATTTATTTATTTATATATATATATATATAAAATTATTATGCTTACTATTTCCAGAAATGAAAGGTTAGAGTTCAAAATGAGGTTAAACCATTTCCAGATTGACGTATTTAAAGACGACCCTAGACTGCTACCGTCATTTCCTTCAGTATCTGGAGACATTTGCTACGAGCAGACCGAAGCTGCGACAAATGATACCTATACATGGATTTGTAACAAACCTCTTGTTGGCCGATATGTGCGGTTACTCAGGTGAGTCTAGTTGTAGGATAGAGCGTAAGGCTCTACTCTCACATTGTAGGTTCAGATAACTGTTTAAGCACAGTGATTTTGATGCACGTTCATTCTGTGCACCAGTGAAGTACACACCTATTTTTTAACACAAAAAAAATTCTTAAAACTTTTCGGTGAATGTGTACACAAAGATGGTGGTGTTTGGCACCACCAAAAACGGTAAAGAACAACTGTAGGTATGTTTATATATATATATATATATATATATATATATATATATATATATATATATATATATATATATATATATATATATCAAATTGCATATATATATATATATATGTATATATATATATATATATATATATATATATATATATATATATATATATATATATATATATATATATATATATATATATATATATATATATATAATTTGATTTTTTTTTGTAAACTTTTGTCAGGTACTTGGTAGAATTTCTTACTATTTGCGAATTTCAAGTGATGACCTATATCATACCACTGGAAACGGCTGATTTCAAGGTCTACAAAGACAAGAAACTAAACAAGACTTCCATGCTTGAGTATACAGCAACAAAGCCTTCGTCGTGTGGAACCCAGTGCTTAAGGAAACGTTACACAGACGGCTGTACTGCTTTCAACTGGTTCCCTTCTACACGTCTGTGTCAACTGTTGAGTGTGGACCCGAGAGATGTCACTGTTGTAACTAAACTTTTCTCAGTGTCTGGTATACGGTTCTATATTATACAATATTAGAGAAGTATATATATATATATATATATATATATATATATATATATATATATATATATATATGTATATGTATATGTATATGTATACATGTATAAGTTGTAGGGGATACTGTATAATGCGTACCTTAAAAAATAAACCGGGAGTGATCTCCCCTAAACTTTCTCGAATATTCTTATATAACTTGGAATATAGACATGATTTTTAATAACTTAAACTTTTAAAAATAGAATATAATCTCATAGAAAAAAGAATTGCGCACCAAGCGAACGCCTAATAAAATGTGTATAAAAGTGCGGGATATTATTAGTACTTAATTTACATGCGTTTTTTTTTTTTGAGAAACCGGAAATAGCGTAAATTAGTACTTTCGGTAAACGGAAATTACTCAAAATTTTAAAGAAGGTAGAGAATTAGATCTGTTACTTACATGTGAAATTTCATTTATCTATATGAAATAGTACTCAAGTTACAGGCTTTTGAAAAATTCAAAGTAAAAAAAGTACCACTTCCGGTTATCGGAAGTCGCTCAAACGTTGATCAGGATCTACGATTTTGATAAAATACTTATATATGAAATTTCATTAACCTAGCTGTAACGGTACTCAAGTTATCGTGTTTACACACATACAGACACACACACACAGACACACATACGAACTATGTTTTTCCAACTCAGGGAGCTGTAAAACACTCCACTGATTGAAAAAGCAATACACGATTCAGCTGATCTCATCAATGAAATGGCTACCCCTCATGAAGTATTTTACCCCATTTATGTAAGGAAAATCCACAAAAGTTTGTGTTAATACATCAGCTTTAATGTGTTGCACACTTTTACACTTGAAATATTTTAGAAGTACATTATAGATTATTAAGCTACGAACCGACACGCGGCGTATCATACACCACTATTTAGTTGTTTTATTTTCCACATTTTAGTAATTCATAATTTGTGAATTTGACTACCTTTCTTCCTCTGCGAAATTATTCTCTGTGACTACAGTATACAAACGACCATGAAAATATCAAGCATAACTTGTTACCTCCTCTTAGTTTCAACTTATCTATCCCTAGTAGATTAATTCGACTCCGTTCTCTTTGTAAATATTTGGAGTGAACCACAGCTCACCAGCTATACGCTTAGAGAGCGGGGAGTAAAGGCGTGCATTTACGTTGTGTCTCGCATGGTTCCCAATGAAGAGAATTTTTTAATATATATATGTATATATATATATAAATATATATATATATATATATATATATACATATATATATATATATGTATATATATATATATATATATATATATATATATATATATATATATATATATATATATATATATATATGTATATATATATATATATATATATATATATATATATATATATGTACATATATATATATATATATATATATATATATATATATATATATATATATATATGTATATATATATATATATATATCATTTGTATTGATGTGCACATTAAATTTTATATAGGTGTCTTAGTCTTTAAAAATAAGGTAGTGTGTGTCGATTAATTTCTTAAAATATAAATATTTTATTGGATACATCTATGTCGGTTAGTATTACAAAAAAAATACTTTGTAATATTTCAGTCAAGCAATTGCATCTGTAGGGTGAAACAAATTATTGTGAAAAAATAAATGAAACAGCTATTGCATGTTTATACATTCTTTAATAAAAACTGGAAGCTTGATAAAATGTATCTGTTTCATTTCCTTTCCTTTCTGATTAAACAAGGAGATATGCTAGACACACCAGAAGAACAAGAACTGAGATATTCTTTTCAAAATGCTCTGGGATACATAAATAACTGTCTCAACATTAATCGAAACGACTTAAAATATTTTTAAAATCATCTTCGATGATCTTAAAATAAATATGATTAGACAAATGTGTTTGATTTTTGTTGAACTTTACCAAAGATTGCAAGTAATTGATTTTTAATATTTACGATGATTAAACAATTTTTGTATAGCCAAAAATAATTGTATTGTTTACATTTATCACACACATTGAAAACAAAAATGACTAAACTATCTAATGAGTGGAGTGTGTGTACCTCTGGAATACGTCTGGTTGTATGGACACTCCAATAGTTTCATTAAATGGTTTGTGGTAAGACTTAAATGTGCATTTTGTTCTACATCTTATTAATCAAAAGAATTGTTTGTTTACAAATGTTTGACGGTTATTATTTTCACCTGCCAAGATATTATTTAGTTTCCAATGTTGTAAACATGTTGTCTATAAATGAAATACAAATAAGTATGTATGTCTGTAAATTTTTTGCTCTTTATTTTATATGTGCCAGTTAAAAGTGTTATGATTTTATTAGTTTAGACAATCATTTCTTAAACTGAAAATAACTACCACTAAAATGAATTGGTGATCAATTTACCGATTTTGGCTGATGTTTTATTTGCAAATTATTACGTTTGTTTTAATTGGTTCCACGAAACATTTTAATCTCTTTTTTATCTTCAGGTTGTGATTACATTTAAATAACTTTTAAAATTTATCTGCACAGCAAAGTCGCCATGGTAAAATGGTGAAAAAATGTTTCTACAAAAAAAGCAATTCTTATTAAGTAAAGATAAAACTGAGCCATCAAAACGCCTGTGTTGTTTATGCATGTGTATAAATCGACACATCAGTGCTAAACTTATTTTCGCTTTACCCTTTAGTACTAATAAACCTCAGGAGTGGTACAATTTGAACGCATATGCAGGTAATTAGTACCATTTTGTCAATGTTTTGTCTTAATTTCTGTGCTCTTCAGTTAAATAATGATTTGTTTCTTTTGAATTGGTAAAAATTATAAGATTTACCCCAAAATGAATAGTGGTGCATTTTAGATTATAATTTACAGAAATCATTGTATGTTATTTTTTTTAAGTTATAAATAAAATCTTTGTTTATTATAACTGTTTTTTTTACTTTTTATTAATTACATAATTATATAAAGCCGGGAAATAAATAAATATAAGAAATAAACGGGAATATCCATTCTTATTTGTAAGCGGTATTTTTAGTATGAAAATTTCCAATTAGGTCGCCATATTTTAAGCAACATACATCTGTTTTCACCTGAAGGTAATAGCTTATTTATAGTTTATAGGCCAGCTAAATATAATAAACACCAGTATAAAAAGTACATTTATCCACAGTATTAGCTTTTACTGGTAGACATTTGAAAAATGGTTCAGTCAACTTCACAATTCATTGTTTACGATTATATATAGGCCAACATGTAGTAAATTTGATTTAACTAATATTTAATTATTTTTTAATATAGCTTTTATACTTTGAAATGTATTGATGAAAACGATTGTTTGTAGTTCTTGCAAAACACATTTGTAACTTAGCAGTGATAATCAAAACAAACTTCGGTGTGATGTTATAAACTGCATATGACCACCTGTCGCTAATACAACCGATGTAAACGAGTTTGAGCCACCATTCAAATTTATGGAATATAGATTTTGATGTAGAGAGTGTCATAAATAATTAACGTAGCATTTTTAAATGGGCATCGACATATTGTTAGGAGAGAGAAGGTTTTTATGGAAGTGAAATCACACACTTTTGCATAACAGTGTTAGAAAAAAACCCTAATAAAACGGGTTTTGTGTTGTTGTAAATTGAAATACAAATTGATTAATATACTCTTTGTTGATCACGTTCAAATGATAAATAAAGAAATAAATCTGTGTATTAAATAATAAAGGTGTAACTTAGGGTTTGAGGTGTTGTAGGGTGAGGTTCGACGTCATTTTAGTGGCGGGTGTCTTGCTTTTTGTGAGAATATGAGTGAAATAATGTCTAAAGTAGCATGGCGTCATATATTAACGACCCCTTATATAAACTCTTTAGCTTTGATTTTTACTAATTTACACTCTTTAAGTAGGAGAGGGGGGAGGAAGGGTAGTATTCTGCCTGTTATTACCACGCTTACAGTGCTAAAATACATGCTCTACTATGTATAGTGCTTAAGTGTATCTACAATGTATTTAGGCCTACACTTATTGATGGCCTGCTGCATCAGATGTTGTTTTTTTTTAAATTCGTGTATAGATCTTTGTTGTTATTATTTCAGTAATATATAGTAATATTTCCTTTTTTTTTGAGACATACAGTCAAACAAGCACGGGCTACAATTAAATATATAAAAGTAAAAAAAAAAAACATTATGTTATGGGGAACGCGAGAGGGGGGGGGGGGACACAATAAAACATATCTTTTAAATTATTTCGACTATCATCCTAACTTACTGCTTTGGGTGAATTCAAATATAGTGATTCGAGTGGATTGTTTTTCAGTTTTCAATGGCAAATAAGAGGGAAATAGTAGTCAACTTTCTTTAAAAAATCATTACATTTTTTTTTTCATTTAAAACATGTTTTCAAAATAATTTTTACATTTTTTTTGTATCTTTTTAATGTAAATTTTCTTATCTAAAATGTGTACTGCAGAGATTAAAAAAAAAACACTAAAATCTATAAATCATATGTTTTAGATGTAGGCTTATCAGGTTGTGAAATCCCAAGTAAAGCTACAAAGGAGGACCAAGAAAGAGTATTTTACCCAGGTGTGATAAAAAAACAAAGGCCAATGTAATTTTTATAAAATTATAAATGTATTTATTGCAACATATTGTAAACGTAAGCTGTATTCCAATTATTCGATGTTCCGACTCAACTTTCAGCAGTATTTGTCTCAATTTCTTGCAGTATGTACATACATCTAGTTAATTGGAATCTATGCTAAAGGGTTTGTGGTTAACGAAGGGATATAAGAGTTTCATTCAGGCTCTGCAGTTTCCGATTTCTTAATAAACAAGGAGTGATCTCCCCTAAACTTACTCGAATATTCTTATATAACACTACGGGAGATAGCAACTATAGACACTATTGTTAATCAATTTTTAATTACTTAAATTTTTAAAAATAGAATAGAATCTCGTAGAAAAAAGATTTGCACACAAAATGAACGCCAAACAAAATGTGCATAATAGTGCGGGATATTATTAGTACTTTATACATTCACATGCGTTTTTTTAGAAATCGGATATAGCGTAAATTACTATTTCAAGTCAACGGAAATTACTCAGAATTTGACAAAAGTTAAAGCGTTAGATCTTTAAATTACACGTGAAATTTCATTTATCTATCTGAAATAGTATTGAGGTTTTAGGCTTTTGAAAAATTGAAAGTAGAAAAAGATCCACTTCTGGTTATCGGAAATTGCTGAAAAGTTAATACAGTTCTACAAATTTAATAAAATACTTATATATACATTTCATCTACCTAGCTGTAACGGTGCTAAAGTTATCGAGTTTACACACACACACACACACACACACACACACAAACACACACACACATGCACACATACGTGCAGACACACATACACACATACACACATACAGACAAGCTTACAAAACTAAGTTTTTTTCCGAATTAGAGAGGTGTAAAACGCAGAGTTTTATAGAAATCTGGAATTTGATTTTTGTCACGATTGCAATACTTCCTCTATAGGCCGTCTTCATATACGAAAAAGTATAAACAATCAAAAAATTATTTACAGAATTGCTTTGGAAACGCCGTCCCCCTTATTGTTACCTACTGTTACTTACGTTTATATAAGAATGTACGAGAAAGTTTAGATAATACTCCCGCTTTATTCATGTAGGAAAACATGAAGCTGAGATGTGCTATGGAGGAGAAGCTGATCTACACAAACATGTGGCAGACTGTACTAAGAATCCAGGTCACAAAGGTTTTATACCTCTTAAAGATTTCAACATAAATTGTCTCCCTTCACGTTACCAAGACGACCTCATGTCTGAGTCAATCAAAACATTGGCAGCCCTAACTGTCCAGGTAAAAACTAAATTCACCAGTCAAGAGAGACCAGAGTTTTACCCAGGCACTCAAGTTCCATATCCATGTTATAATGACAGAGGAAGTCACGTGATTAGGTTATTGACGGGGAGGATTTGTTATGTATACAAATCAACGGACATTGATGAAGATTGTCAAGTCTCTGCCACACCCAGCAAAGTCTGGGGTGAGATCCGTGTAATAACAGCCACACACATGGTGTTTGATGACAGTGAGGCGAAACAGACCAGGTGTGTTTTAGGTTTTGATGACAATACAAGTCCAGTGGTCAGTCTTGATGGCTGGGAGGTGGTGGGGAAGGCGCACACTGAAAGAGATAGATGTGAGTTAAAATACTTGACATGTGATTTAAGTCTAGTCGATGATCTTGAGAAAGACTGGCGAAGATTTGATGATCTACACTCAGAAGTAAAAAACAAATTCAGAGATACTGTTGATATAGACAAGTTGACAGTTATAGTGTCATATCCGCATGGTTGTCCTAAGCAGATCTCTGTAGGACAGTGGAAATACAAGAAAAAAAGAGAAGATAGGTACTCTAGGTACTGGTACACAACATGTACATGTCCTGGTTCCAGTGGAGCGACTGTCTACATTCCTAGCAGTGGTGGCTGGTGGCGCCAACATCCACACAGTGGATCTAATGATGATGGAAATTACAGTGGCGAGTGGTTGAGCTAATATAATCACCAGTTCTCCTTTGGCTACACAATTTAAAACAAAAACAATGCTCGATATATCAATGTTTTGACAATAAGTGTCTAGACATGTTTGGCAACATTTCGAATATAACATAACTTGCTTTTTAAACCGCTTAACAATTATGATTATTACCAAAGACAATCACATTTTTAGTCAAATGTAAAAAAAAATGTTTTTAATAAATTGTATATGGTTACTTACATTTTCTTCAATACATAACTAATATCTGAAAGGAAATAAAATTATTGTTTTATTAATACTCTTCACATTGTGTTGCGCTATGAGAGTTTGACATTGCTATTGTTGTTATTATGGTCCATATTGTTGTTGCAACTGTGGTCTATACATTTCTATTTATTGATACAGTAGCTTTTAGAAGCCTATTCGGCTCGCAGTATTTCTTTAAGTTATCTCTCCAGGACAACAACAAAAAATGTGTCAGTCTTTAAAATGTTTTCAACCCATACAGCCCAGATTTATACTAACTTCTTCTTCTTCTTCTTCGTTCTTAATTATTAGTGTCGAAGGGGATCGAGATTTATCTGCCAGTGGGTTTTTGAACTCGAGACTGTTCGAATTTATCAACCATGAGCTTTTTTTTTTTTGCCGACTCGACCATGCCTCCAACACAATTAAGCGTTACGTGTCAACTGGTTATGACTCCGATTTCAGCCTGCTTTTCTTTTTTGATTTGCTTCCATAGCCTTTGTCCAACCAAGAACAATCTACAAGGCAGCAGACTTTTCGGTTTAGCAACCATGAGCTTTACCGAATCGACCACGCCGAACCCTTTATACTAACTGAAATTTAAGATTCTTTAGAAACGTCAAATTTTACAGATGGCTCGATGTATAATTAATGAAAATAGGAGGTACATTTACATAGCCATCCTCGCCCTCCCGAAAAAATGTACAGTAAAAAACAAAAATAATATTAATTTAAAATAGACAACTATACTATTTCGGAAACATTATGAAGTAAAATGTAGAAATCTTATAAGAGATACCAATTAAATTAAAGACATAACTGAATTAGCATCAGACTCACGCACAAATTAAATCAATTTATATTTTTTTAGGTTCACGAATTTACAAAATACTAGGGATTCAAAGCGTTTAACAAAAATGCACGCTTAAGAACTTACTGAATTCTAACGTTTTTCAACACGTGCAGATTATATATGTTGTAATGTATCAACATGTGTAACATAAATGAATGTTGATCACGTGTAATATAAATGTAAGCCATGAGTTATCAATACTTACGATTTGAAAGTATGTAATTAGTTAACAAAAAAAAAAACAAGGATGATGGCACGGACCAATTCACAACATAACTTACAATTATGTTACTATTATCTACATCCCAAGTGTTCTACCATCATCTACATTCCATGTATGTTACGATCACCATCTACACTACATATATGCAAACATCACCTACATTATCTTTCTACTACCATCCCCTATACAATCTATCTGCCACCTTCACCTACATTATCTATCTGCTACCATCCCCTATACCATCTATCTGCTACCTTCACTTACATTATCTATCTACTACATCACCTACACTCCATGGCTGCTATAATTACATATAGTATTTATCTGATACCATCAAATACACTATTTATCTACTACAATCACCAACATAAGCTTTCTGTTACCATTATTTACACGTCCTGTTTTCTACCATCACTATCGACGGTACAGTCAAGTTGTTGATTCGTAGTCAAATTACATAATTATATGTCTGATTTTACAATTAATGTATAACCAGATTTTAATTTGAAAATTATGTTCAGATTTTTAATAATCTTATTAAATATTAACAGCAATTTACAGCTAATATGTTAATTAAAATACATATTTTACCCAGTATGATCTGATAAAGATAATTTAATTAGTTGAATCATTCTACATTTAGTACATACTTTAACACACTTTATACTGTTACGCTGCAATTAAAAGAGATTAATTATTATCTATCAGATGCTTCATCATATCGAGATTTAAGAAAACATGACTGCTGTGTCGGATTAGTTTGCAATACGAATAAGGCCTCATGGCATAAAAAGTGATTAAAATATAATAATATATTATATGATGATAGTATTGTTAAAAATACAGTGGCGTAGCGAGGTCGGGTGTCACCCGGTGCGGCACTTAATGGTGTCACCCTGTATAAATACTAGATGTAGGCCCTATATCCTAACCAAATGCGTATGCACAGGACCGAGAGTTAATTTTAAACTCCAACAATATTTATATTCTGTTTATTTTTAGACTCAAGACAAAATAGGAACAATTTTGAAAGTAGATGATATGAAGATCTACGGGGTGTTTTTCGTTAAAGCTGAAAATGAGAAGAATGCTGAATGCCTGGCGTGTCTTATAATCGACAGTGAAAACATAGCTTAAATAATGTTCACTGTATAAAATTCCGAGAGGTAACTGGAGTGTTAACAACTTCAAGGGAGTATTGTTGCCCAACAGGTTACGCCTATGTTTCACAGACTAACGAGTAAAGTGCATATCAAATAGATACATTACCAAGTAGAGTTCATAGAGAATAGATATTATAACAAGTAAAGTGTCTAGCAATTATTCAAATTAGGCTAATTGCTAGTGTTTTAGAAATCCCGAAGTAATACAAAAATATTAATTGGGATATATATTGCTAAAAATAACTCACAGATTGTGGCTCACGGATGATAACACACTTCTCAATTGTTTTACAAAGTGTGATGTCAAGCAATCACCAACAGCATCTGCCTATTTTACTTTCTCGTATACAAAGTATAGAGAAAATATTGCAAACGTGCAAACAAAAAAACAAAAAATATCCAGATTTTTTTTTACAAATCTCGACGTTTTACACCTGCCCGAGTCGGGAAAAAATAGTTTTGCAAACGTATCCGTATGTCTGTGTGTGTGGGTGTATGTTTATATGTGTGTACGTGTGAAAGAGTGTCTGTGAACACGATAACTTCAGTACCGTTACAGCTAGGTTGATGAAATTTCATACGCAATTATTATATCAAATTTGTAAAATCGTATCAACTTTCAATCAATTTTCCGATAACCGGAAGTGGAACTTTTTCTACTTTCAATTTTTCAAAAGCCTATAAATTGTGTATTTCAGATAGATAAATAAAATGTCAGATGTAAGAACAAGATATAATAATCTGCGTTATGTCAAATTTTGAGTAACTTCCGTTGACCGGAAGTAGTAATGTAGGCTATTTCCGATTTCTCAAAAAAAAACCGCATGTAAATTAATTTTATAAAGTACTAATAATGTCTTGCACTATTATACACATTTTGTTTTGGCGTTCACTTGGTGTGCAATTCTTTTTTCCTCGAGATTCTTTTATATTTTAAAAAGTTTAAGTAATTAAAAATTGACAAAAAATATTGTCATATATCCCGAGTTGCCATCCCCCGTAGTGTTATATAAGAATATTCGGGAACGTTTTAGGGAGTTTATTATTGGTTGGTTTAGGGAAAGTTTTGTGTAACATTACGTGTTAATGAATTTCTTGTTTTTCAGTGTATTGTTTGCTCACTTCTCAGTTGGTACATCTCGTTGTTTCTTTGCTTAACTGTTAGTGAGTTAATTAATATGTTTATCTCTTTATGTTTTTTTTATCCCCCGCACATAACACATGTATCCAGAACACACCACCCATTTGTCCTTCACACACAACACATTTGTCCTTCACACACCACACATTTATCCTTCAAATATCACACATTTGTCCAAACAGATCACACATTTGTCCTTCAAACACTCTATATTTGTCCTCCACACATTACTCATTCATCTTACACACACCACACATTTGTACACCACACACCACACATTTTCCTTCACACACCACACATTTGTCCTCCACACACCACACATTTGTCCTCCACACACCTCACATTTGTCCTCCACACACCACACAATTGCCAACTTTTTGTCAAACATAAGATGACATCAGCAGCAAATTAAACACAGTGACCTCAATGAAACATAATGACATTCAAGTGGGGGGTGTAAAATAAAAGTGAAAACATTTTAGATATTTACAAACAAGCTTGCGTGTTGACAAAGATTTTAGTGAAGAATGAGGTCAAGTGTTAATTTGTATAGGCCTAAAGTATGTAGTTTAACTTTAGCTGTTTCAATCAACGTTTACTTTTTGTGGCTCTATAGTGTAGATGTAAGTTATTTAATTTGCTTCTTGTCTGTTACACATTAAAAATCTAACTTTAAATATATACTAGAATACCCGTCATCCGTTGGATAACTGTGGGTTTTGGGGGGTCATCCATCAAAAAACATCACGTCTGTCACTCAGAGGCATAGCGACCCTTCCCGGCGCCCGAGGACAAACTTTTCGATTTTAACCCCCCCCCCAAGATTTCGATTTTCAACCCCCCCCCCCTCAAACTTTTGATGTGCAACCCCCCCCCCCCCAATCAAACTTTCGATCTGAACCCCCCTCAACCTTTCAATTTATTTTTCTAAACCATTTTGGCGCCCCAACATATGTCCCCCCCCCTCCACCTCCCCCCGCCTCCCCTCCCCTCCCCCGCCCCCCCCCCCCTCCTTGCTACGCTACTGCAGTGTCACTTATCGTCACAAAAAACAGACCCCACATTCAAAAATATGTTTTTTATCTTTTAAAAACACCGAAAACAACGATTTCGGACTATCCCTTCATATACTGACGTCACAGGTGACCTACTCAACTCTACTTCACCTGCCCAGTGTCCCGCCAAGTCTCAGACAACAAAAACGATTCCAGCCGAGCATGTCTCTGACCACACTATCCCTTCATTTGCTTATGACAAAGAAACAGATGAACCCTACTTCACCTGCCCTGTGCCCCGCGAGGTCCTGATAGTCAACCTTATCATTCACATATAGGGCTTAAGAAAAAATAATTGAAAACGTAAAAAAAAAAGTTCTATTAATGTTTATGACACTGACTTTAAAATTTAGCCTTCATTCTCCAAAGCAAATTTTAAAATGCTTTTCTGGCATATCTAGCCCTGGACACCTATACCATGTTTAAATAATGTGAACACCCGCCATTTTGCTCGTGGTAAACATGGCCTAAAAATGGTCGGAAGACATGCGTCCGGTCCGTACGCCATATTGTTGTTAG